TGCCCCCCCCCCGCTGGGCTAGAGGGGGGGAAATCGGCAGCTTCTGGGACTTTTCTGAAGCTTCCCAAGCCTCAAGTCCCAGAAGCTGGCGATTTCGCCCCCCTCTGACGCCCGGGGGGGGCAGGGCGAGCCTCCAAAGGGTCCTACGATGTGTTCCATAAGATGGACCTCTCCATAAGGCTCACCAATTTTTAGGAGAAGAAAAATTATTTTTTCCTGTTTTCTTGTCCTAAAAATTTGGTGCGTCTTGTAGAAAGGTGCGTCTTATGGAGCAAAAAATACAGTACATCAACTGAAGGGATACTCCAAGAAATCTGTTCAGTGCAGAAGGCGAGTCTAAAAACAGATGGAGGGCACAGTATCATCCCTTCGGTTGTGTAAACTCATGCTACAGACTCTGTCTAGGAAGTCTGTTTACCACCCTTGAACTTTTACGGAGAGTATATATGGAGGCAGCAATTTGACCATCATTAGAGGGGGGTGTGAGCAACACGCAGAGAAAGATGACAATGGCTTCTAGCTTTTCCCACGATCCCTTCCATTGTCCTCTGTTCAACTCACCTTAATGCCTTTGTTGTCCTTTCTGCCTCATGTCCCATTTTTCCTTGTCATGTTTTCAGTTACATAAAAAGGAGTTGGATTCTAACTTCACCATATTTCGACCCAATCACCTTTCTAGGCGTTTCTCATAACTAAATTTAGGTCCCATTGATTTTGATGGGTCTACTTTAACAGTGACTAGGTATGACTCCATCTCCCAGTTATCAGACCTAAGAGCCTATTTCCAGGCATTGTTTTGCAGAATATACAGTATGCGCTCAGGGGATTCTAGCCCTACCCTTGACAGTGGAAGAAAAGAGTTGTGGGGTGGGCAGCTCCGGTACCTTCTGTAGATAGAGGATCATTCCTTTCAGGATCCCATGGAAAGTCTTCCATCCTCGCTTCCCTCTTGGGGCTGTGAAAACAACAACAATAGTCAGAGCAGAAAGGAAAGCCTTGTCAGGGCAACACACTTATTTGAGTAGCATGCAGGGGAGTTGCCTGAGCTTGAGGGCTGACAATGCGCAGAGCACAGCTGCAACCTGGTCGTGGCTGGGCTCTGAATGTGGCATCAGGCAGGTGCCGAGGTTGGTGGAAGTAGGTCCAGCCAATGGCTCCTGTCAGGTAAATCTGTAAATCTGCATAACAGATATGAAACATACCGACAGTATATCTAATCGGATCAGGAAGGCATTAACGGCCTGGGATTAGGCTAGATTTTACAGGGAAAGTGGAGTGCATGCTACGGGAAGAATATCAGAGCCAGCCAGGTGACAGGATCCCGGGCCCATCTTTAATTATGCTGTCAAGAGTTCAATACCAGCCATATCTGGGGTGAAGCTGATTTCGTGGGAACAGAAGACTCACTTAGCAAGACCTCTGGTTTGTTCCAGTACGTTTCATCTTCTGTCTTTGTATCTCACTTAACTCCCTGGGCTTTGTTTCTAAATGGACTTACATGCAGACTTTCATAGTTATAACAAAAATAAAAACAAAGTGCTATAACCCATTTAACATAGAATCATAGAACAATGAAGTTGGAAGAGGCCTATAAGGCCTTCGTGTCCAACCCCCTGCTTAACGCAGGAATACAAATCAAACAATATCTGCCAGGTGGTTGTCTGAATTTCTCTTGAACGTCTCTAGTGTTTGGGCACATAGCACCTCTCGATATAAGTGGTTCCACTGCTGTACTGCTCTTAACAGTTAGGAAGTTTTTCCTGATATTCAACCAAAATCTGGCTTCCTGTAACTTGAACCCATTGTTGCGTGCCCTGCACTCAGGGATGATTGAGAAGAGGAGATCCTGCCCCTCTTCTGTATGACAGCCTTTCAAATATTTAAAAAGCTATCATATCACCCCTCAGTCTTCTTTTCTCAAGGCTAAACATGCCCAATTCTTTCAGTCTTTCCTCACAGGCCTTTGTGTCCAGCCCCCTGGTCATCCTTGTTGCCCTCTTCTGAACTTGTTCCAATTTATCAGCATCCTCCTTGAAGCGTGGTGTCCAGAACTGGACACAGAACTCAAGATGAGGCCTAACCAGTGCCAAATAGAGTACCTTATGGGATTTAGAGACTTTACTTGGACAAATTTATTTCAATGTGAGCTTTCATAGGTAACACCCACTTCTGTAGACAGATGGAGCCAACAATCCATAGAAGTTGTGATCCATGAAAGCTCATACTGAAATAAATCTGTTAGCTTTTAAGATGCCCCCATACTTTTGTTATACATGGTCAAACATTAACACCAGCTCTCTCTCTCTCTGAAAACTCATAGATGTACTATGTAGCCTTACTGTGAAAGAGAATGTGGGCAGAAACATTAAATGTAGTTTAATCTTCCAGACCAAATTTCATCATGATGAATTTGAACTGACTTGTGTTCCATTTATCCTTAAGCTGATACAAAGGGCTCCGTACTGAAGTTCAATACTTCTTCAGCCTTCATTACACAATGTGTGCACCTGCTTTATCACAGAAAGGCAGAAAGCTCTTTGCTATACCTATATGTTCTGCTGGCTGTATGTTCTGCTAAATGGATGCATCATTTAGAGAGCTATCATATATGGAAAGTAAATGTAAGCAACAAGAAAGCTATAAGAATGGGGTGGAAAATATCTAGTCAACCAAGTCTCCATTCCTTGCCTCTTCTCACGAAGCAGGTTTGGAAAAAGCTTTTGTCTGGAGCCAACCAGAGACTTATCCTAAGTTGAATTGTGTGACTGTGTCTCCTATGTGAGAATTGTCTAGGCACATGTATGTAATGTGTGAGAATACATACAAACGAATACATACAGAGGGAGGTGAGCGGTCCTGGCATCCTCCCCACGTCAGCAGGGGGGCTACCTGTCCCTGGACACACAGCCAGTGTTTCTTTGGTCCCCACAAAGTAATCCTACATTTTGGCAATACTTTGTGAAAAAAACAACAACTCAACGCTAACATGGTTATAGCCTGGTCAAAAGCCAAATTAGATGAACACAAAGAAATATAATAGTTCTCCTTTTCTTTCTCTCCTCTGACTCTCTCATTCTTTCCCCCTCCATTTTTACTTTGCTTCCTCTCATCTTGCAGCATTGTCTGCCTTGGACTCAGTCTACAGGCAGGAAAACAGATCTTCTCTCCAACGCCACAGAATAGTGACAGGCGAGAGGATACAGCCCGGCAAACGTATGGCTTGGACAAGGGAGGCCTGTTTGGCAGCAACGGCTTGTCAACAGAGCTGCTCCTAAATCCAAAATAGTAAAAGTACTGTACAGGAAATCATCTCAAGGTGGTTTGGGGATGGGGTGAAGTGGAAGCAAAATCACGCTAAGGAGACCACACCTGCTGCAGACTAGGGCAAGTGAAAATCTGTAACATGTGGCAAATTTTGTGACATAATGTGTTTGGTTTTGCCTGACACGCCTGTACAGGCTAAAATGGTGGCTACCTGTTTGAAAACAACAACATTTTGAACTGTTTGGAAAGAAAAGTGGAGAATATCCATGTTAAAATAAATGTGGGTCTAAAAAGAACACCCTGCAAAGAACAAATTATAGGTTGAAGATGTGGCTGCAAAGGAGTTTATAAATGTGGGGAGAAGTGTTTGGGGGTGTGAAGGATGCAAGCTGAAGATAGCTGGGGGTGGGGGAGCCTTCTCAATATGAGCTAGGCTGCTCAGGAAAATGCCTGCAGGGCCCAGCAGCTGTTTCTGAAACTGCAGCACCATTTTTTTTTTTTAAAAAGACTTCATCCTGATTCTTTACTGAAATCTCACCAGACACTTGTGGACATAGGAAAAGGTAAGCGGGGAAGGGGTTTATATATGAGCTCCTCAGTGCAAGGCTTAAAAAAAAATTCCTGAGAGTATGTTTATTTCTGTGCTCTTTATTATTACCATCATTTTCAGCTTTTGGTCTCTCTCTCTCTCTGTCTCTGTCTGGCTTGACAAAGCCTAGTTATTTCAGAGGATGTTTCCATGTCCCAGAAATTCTGCTCTGACACAGTTGCAGTTCTAAAAGGTTAGCTTCTTCCGAGAGGTAGCTAATTTGGGCGATGCCAGCGCTGCTCCCCTCCGAGCCTCTCTGCTCACTACAGGGCAAACAACACAAATAAGCACCTCCCCGCTTAATTCTGGCCGGCAAAGGACAACCACCCACATCCCACTGGACACCTGGGCAAAGGCGAGCCCCAAATCACACTCCCCGTCCCCACACTGTGCACACCACACATCCTGTCTGCCACACGTACTCTTTTTGCAATCTGGCTCAGCGTGGCTCTTGCGCACCAGGATGCCATACTTGTATGTGGCAATGCTGGGATCCTGTGAGAAGTCCAGGAAAGGGTTACTGCAGCTGCTGATCCGTTTGATGGACTTTGGGTTTGGGTCTGCCAGTTCGGAGAGGGACTTGCGCAGCTCTTCTTCATCTCTAGGCAGCAAACAAAGCACAAGGATTGACATCTTCAAGCCCATCCATTTCCACCAGAAATTGTAGCAGAGACTCTGAAACCCTTGTGCCTGGAGGTTGCGCCTGACTTTGCCCAAAGGACAAAGTGGCTAATGAGAGCAGTGTTGCTGCTTTAGAGTTCTCAGCCCCACAGCTTGGAAATAATACATTTAAATTTAATTTGTTTCATCAATTCCACCCCCAGGTTCAACATTTGATATTTTAAGAGTTGAGCACACGGAAATAAATTTTTGATGACTTTTCATGTTAATTTGTTACTTTTGAGGCATGTTTTGGTGGGACTAGCCTTCTCAGTCACTTTTTAGTCTTTAATTGATGTTTTTAAAATGTGTAGTCTGTTAATAAAATGTTAATATAAAAAAGGACAGGTTACTTACCCATAAATATAGTTCTTTGAGCAGTCCTATGTGAATCCACATATACAGTGGTGCCTCGCTAGACGATGATAATCCGTTCCACTGAAATCGCTGTTTAGCGAAATCATTGTCTAGCGAAATGCATTTCCCTATTGGAATGCACTGAAACCTGTTTAATGTGTTCCAATGGGGAAGAATCGTCGTTGTCTAGCGAAGATCAGCTATAGGAAAGCCGCTTTGCGAACTGCCGATCAGCTGTTTAAATTGCTGTCTTGCGAATCTGAGGTCCCGAAAACACCTGTTTTGTGAGTGCGGAGGGTGCTGTCAAAATCATCGTCTAGCGAAAATCGGTTTGCAAAGCAGGGACCAAACATTGTCCAACGAAATTCCCCCATAGGAATCACTGTTTTGTGAATCGCTATAGCGATCGCAAAAAGTCAATGTCTAGCAAAAAAACTGTCATGCGGGGTAACTGTCTAGTGAGGCACCACTGTATGGCTATTTCTACTGCTGCACAAAACCTATTGGAACATTCTAAATCTTGAAGAGCAAACCCTTAGAAGGCCTTCCCCCTCGTGTGCATGTCCCTGGACTTACTGACAATCTCTCAGTTCCTCTAGTCTGCCACTCAACATGAAGCAATTTAGTAGCATGGCAGACTGAGGGGAGAACGGGCGGGTCGTACGAATGTATAGATGACCACTCAAAGAACTACAGTTATGGGGAAGTAACCTGTCCTCTCCCTTTGTGGTCTGTGTGAGTCACCCATACGGTTGACTGAGCTTGCCAGTCACCCATACGTGTGACTCACAGAGACCACAAAGATGTTCAGTTACCAGCTAGTGGGATGTCATCATCAATGTAGAAGACATCACTGCTCTACTGAACTCGGCATCTTGCACAGCCCTGGCATCCAATCTGTAATGTTTGATGAATGTCAAGAATTGAGACCATGTTGCAGGCTTGCGTAGGCTGTCTTTTAGTTGCATCTCTTTAAGAAAGGCTGTTGAAATAGAAAGAAGCTCTAGTTAAGTGACCTTTCAGAGGTCCAGGGAATGAACCTCTTTGCAAACTGGCAACACAGTGATGGTATTGACAAGACACTTGGATAGGAACTAGAGGGTTGTTTGAGCCCCCATCCTTGAGGTCTGCTAGCTAAAAAAATCTGTTAGGCTTTTCAACGTGCTTAGTCCTTGCAATAGAGAATGCTAGGGCTTGATGGCTATCCAGAGTGTGAAGTACCTTCTCTAGGTGTGTAGAAGGGGATGGGAAGACACTTGGAAGAACAAGGGGCTGGTTGAGCTTGAAGGCAGAAACCATCTTAAGCAAAAAGAGAGGTCAGGAGAAATTGTGACTTTATTCTTGTAGAATTGCGAGAAATGTGGGTCATCCCAGAGAGCACACAATTCACTTGCTTGCCATGCTGATATGATTGCTAGCAAGAACATAATTTTGTAAGCAAGCGATCTCAAATCTGTTGTAGCCAGTGGCTGGAATCCTGTAGACCATGAAGGAACTTCTTTAAAGTTGGGTTCCTGAAATATTGGGATGCCCTGAAACTGGGAAGTTTGCTTTGCAACTATTGCAGACAGATGAACCTTAATGGGACAAACCTGTTTCCTAAAGGAAGCTTAGTACCATATGTAACGAAAGAGGAATGTCAGGTTTTCCTACTGAATAGGTAAAAGAAGAGAATATTTGCCACTTGCATTCATAACATTGTCTGAGGGAAAGTATTTTGGACTCAGCTATACTGATGCTCTACCGTACAATTGCACTCATTTCACACACCAGCAAGGTTACGCTGAAAATCCTACAAGGTAGGCTTCAGCAGTATGTTGATCGAGAACTCCCAGAAGTACAAGCTGGATTTTGAAGGGGCAGATGAACTAGAGACCAAATTGCTAACATGCGCTGGATTATGGAGAAAGCCAGAGAGTTCCAGAAAAACACCTAGTTCTGCTTCATGGACTATGCAAATGCCTTTCTGTGGAGCACAACAAACTATGGCATGTTCTTAAAGAAATGGGAGTGCCTGACCACTTTATCTATCTCCTGAGAAACCTATATGTGGGACAGGAAGCAACAGTTAGAACTGGATATGGAACAACTGATTGGTTCAGAATTGTGAAAGGATTACTACAAGGCTGTATATCGTCTCCCTGGTTATTTAACTTATATGCAGAATACATCATGTGAAAGGCAGGACTGGATGAATCCCAAACTGGAATTAAGATTGCTGGACAAATATGGACAACCTCAGATATGCAGATGATACCACTCTGATGGCAGAAAGTGAGGAAGAATTAAAGAACCTTTTAATGAGGGTGAAAGAAGAGAGTGCAAAAAATGGTCTGAAGCTCAACATAAAAAAACTAAGATCATGGCCACTGGCCCCACCACCTCTCAACAAACACAAGGGGAAGATATGGAGGCAGTGACAGATTTTACTTTCTTGGTCTCAATGATCACTGAAGATGGGGACAGCAGCCACGAAATTAAAACACCTGCTTCTTGGAAGGAAAGCGATGACAAACCTAGATAGCATCTTAAAAAGTAGAGACATCACCTCGCTGACAAAAGTCTGCATAGCCATAGTTAGGTGGACAGATGAGAAGTAGAAACCCCTTTCCCCACGTTTCTTGCTCTGTATGTTTACAGACTTCCAAAATGTCCTATCATTAAAAGCTCAGATAGTTTTTCAGGTAGGCGAAAGAACATCTGCACCAGGAGGAGCATTTCTAATGGGTCTGTTTCCAAGCTGTAGAATGTTCTGACGAGTTATGCGCAGGCACAGAAACATCCACAAGTGTGATTCACAGAGATCACAGAGAAGTAAATGTTTAAAAATCAAATCTGGTACATGAAAACTACAAAAAAAATTAAAGCAATTTAAAATGAAATATTTGTCCCAGCTGAAATGCATTCAAAGTTCTGCTTTTTCTTCCTCCCAGAGACATGGCCCAGAATTGTGTAAGCACCTGCATAAGGATCATCATAGCAGTGCTCCCCACGAACAGGCTCCTGATCATATATGCAAACCAATCTAAGGGAGGGAATGTCCAGAGAATGTCAACAGAATTTTGGCCATGGATCTAGACACGGTTCGGAGGGGATCCAAGATCACAGCACATATCTGATTTTCACAGCACAGTAGGAGATTGCCACAAGTTTGAAACAAAAGGAATGGGCAGAATATGTACTTTCTACGTTCAAGATAGCCAACAGGGCAGAGCAGTCACCTGATATCTTACCCAGGCTTGGTGCCACACTAACTGTGTACAAATAGCTAAAAATAATTTCCCTTTGCTGTTTCTGTGTTGCTAGCCTGAGTACTGTCATGTAACAGAAGGAGGAAGGAGAAAAGAAGTCCCAATGCAGTGCAAAAAATTATCCTGTATCCTAGTTGGAACTATTTCTACTTTCAGTGGGGACATGAGAGAGGGCCTTCTTTGTAACTGCTCCCAGACTTTGGAACTCCGTCCCACAGGACAGGCTGGCCCCATCTTTGCTGTCCTGCCATGAGCAGACAAAGACCCTCTTCTTTAGGCATGCTTTCCCTTAGTGACTGCCTTCCTTACTGCTTTGAATGTGGTATTGGTGTTGCTTTTGTTTACTGTTTTTTTAGTGTGGTATTTGATTGGTCCTTTTTAATATTTGTATACTTACTGTTTTTCGCTTTAAATACTGTATTTTGATAATGTAAGCCTCTTTTGGCCATTTTTAAGGTAAAAATATTTTAAATAAACAAGTAAACTGTATTTTGATAATGTAAGCCTCTTTCGGCCATTTTTAAGGTAAGGTAAAAATATTTTAAATAAACAAGTAAACAATACCATATCTTGCAAAGCAAGTGTGCAACTGATAATAACAAATTTAAGAAACTTCCTAAGTAACTTAGAGATAAGTGGTCCCCAACCTTCGCTGAACCGCGGACCAGTTGGGGTGGGGTGGGGTCTGTGCACGGGGTAGCAGGGCACCCCTGCTCACTGGTGGGTGTGGTGCACATGGGTGGGGGTGCTTGTGAGGTGGCCATGATGCGCTCGCAGGTGGGTGTGGCATGCATGCGCGGGTGAGCGTGGCGCACTCACAGGTGGGTGTAGTGTGTGGGGGTGAGGGACACACTTGTGCATGCATGGGTGAATGTGGCATGCTCGCAGTTGAGCATGGTGCGCTTGCATGCATGGGTGTGGTACGCTCGCAGGGCGTGCTTGCATGCACATGTGGGTGGGCCGTGCGTGCATGTGGGCATGCGTGTGGGGAGTTTGTGCGGGGGGTGAGGAGATCTGTCTCTGCGGCCCAGTCCTGTGAAGGGTTGGGGACCCTTGCCTTAGATAACCTCTTCAAGTACAGTGGTGCCTCGCATAACGAGCGCACCATTTAACGACGAATCCGCATAGCAATGCGTTTTTTGCAATCGCTTTTGCGATCACATTGCAATGTTTAAATAGGCAAAACATCACGTTGTGATGATCGGTAAGCGAAACGCTTACCGATCTTCGCATTGTGATGTTTTACAAACAGCTGATCGATGCAGCGTTTTCGCGCCGATTCCTTGCTTACCGAGGCGGTGAAAATAACAGCCCTATGGAGGATTCCCGCTTA